CCGAAAACCCAAAGTGCAGAATTAATTATGTTATATTTCAAAATAGCAACTTCGCTGTTAGAGATCATAATATAATAGAGAACGTTAGTGAAGTTTATGGAACTAATACTAAAAGAAATAGGCAGTGAGTATTGAATTTGTTTACAGAAAATCTACCATTTATCATGAATAGAATGCGCCATTAGATAAATTTTTTCTTTTCTTTCATTATGCCAATAGAGTTCAATTATTAAATTATATCATAATAATTCATAATTAAACATTACTCCATATGTGTTAAATACTAGAGAGTAGGTGTAGAAATTGTTTATTGAAATTTTCTATTAAATATATATTGCTTGTAATATACTTATTGAATCCTCATAAATATACTTTCTCTGTTTACTCATATGCATAAAATTAATAGTTCGTGAGTATATATTTATAGTAAAAAATATTTAGCTGTCGTTTGCATTCTAACTAAGCAATACATCCATTTATTCTCAGGAAGTGAGTATATAATATGTTTTTTCATAAATTTAACAACTATTTCAAAATTATATTTATTATATAATGGACAAATAACCAGGTGAGTATAAATTTGTTCTAAATCGATTAATTGACATCAATTATACAGCTTTAATACTTTGTTATTCTGTTAAATTTAGAGAGTACGTATCAATCTTTCTATCATTAATAGAAGATTTATTTGTATATCATTAATAATTATTTGATCCTGTTACACGTAGTGTTTCCGACAAAAAGAGTGAAGGGAAGGTTTATCAAGTTACGAATAAAGCCATCGTTCATAATAAAAATAAAGAATTTCCTCAGCCTATCTTCAATGAAAATGCGGTGAAATATCTCAAATTGAATCATAGTCTTATAATTAAATCGCAAGAAATGTGTACTGCAGTAAATCAAGCTTTTAATTTTGATTCGAGAATGAGAAAGGACATCGAAGGATGTCACATAAAATTAGTATTGCCAAAAGATAGAAAAGAACTATTTTTATTGAAAAATAATATAGATGTTGCTTCTTTTCAATTACTTCCACAAAAGTTGGTTAAGATTATGATGCAATCGACAACCTTTCTTAATGATAATTCATCTTTTAATCATGTTCATTTGGAAGTCAAATTCCCAAAAATTGAATTGAATTTTGAAAAAAAGAATATTAAACCAACTGAAGAGATAAAAATATCAATAAATAACGCATTGAAAAACGAAAAACCATATCAAGAATTAATCAAAGTATTCGACACATTTGGATATTTATTATCGCAGAAACTTATTCTTGGACAAAAGTTGTATAAATCGTGTGTTTCATTACAAAAACCATCGAGTACTGACAATCAGCAAGAAATTGAACTAACGATTGAAGAATTTTTTGAAAATTATTTATCGAAATTAGATAATATGTCGAAGAAATACGGATTCAATGCAACATATTTTATTTCAATAAACGGAGAGGCGATTAGAATAAATGGCATTGAAAAATGGTTAAATGAATATTCTAAATTATTACAGGTTATTGGTCGTAGTGAATTGCTTCCAGTATATGAAATATTTGAAGAATCAATCAGTTGTAAAATCCAATCGATTTTAGGCATCGACAATCAAAAAAAGATACTTATGACGGGGGTGACGCAGTTTGTTGAAAATACCAAGTATTATCACATGGATTTTCCTTCTAACTTAGAAAGTTGTAATTATCAGATTTTTGCAAAAGTTATTAGATATACAAATAAGGAATTAATGGGTACCATTGATAATGCAATAGTGAAAATACATTCTAAAAGTAGAACTGGATTTTTTGTAGCAATCGAAAATATTAATGGAATCAAGTAAGTAAAAAAAAAAAAATTTAAACATAGTACAATAATTATAATATTAATTGTTTTACGATATTATATTTACTGCGCTTTTCAAATTACTGTGTCCGTCAAATGATCGAACATCACACGGAAATCTCCAAAATTTCTCAAATTTACGACTTTTTTTGTGAATAAATCCAAATATCTTGCTTACAAATAAAAATTCCAAAGATTCCTCCTTTATTTTCGCTTTTCCCAGTAAAACATCTAGTAATACATAGGAAATTATTGCTAGTTTGACCAAATAACATTGAGAATTCCAGTCATTTTTTTTGTTAGGCATAAAAAAAATAAATTCCCAATGCTATTTTGCCAAACTAGTAATAATTTCCTACGCATTAGTAGATGTTTTACTGGGAAAAGCGAAAATAAAAGAGGAATCTTTGAAATTTTTATTTGTAAGCAAGATATTTGGATTTATTCACAAAAAAAGTCGTAAATTTGAGAAATTTTGAAGATTTCCGTGTGATGGTCGATCATTTGATGGACACAGTAATTTGAAAAGCGCAGTAATAGAAGCGTGGATCCAATTGACCTTCAAATTATGTGGATTTTGGTCGGATTTCCAGATGAAATTAACTTTTATAGCGTACATACGCGGGAATTAGTTGTACTAAGCATGGAGGATCAAAATATTACACTTGAAGCAGATAAAAAAACTGTAATAATCAATGTCCCAAAGGAGTTGCCAAAAAACTCAATAATGACTTTGTCGTTTGAATACCCTCTGTCGAACAATAATTTAGAAATCCAGGATGGTAAGAATTTATAGAAGCTGATGTATCAATTAGCAAATGTAAAAAAGTTTATTTAAAGGCAATGGGTTTGCTAATTCATTAGATTTGTTAGTGTAAAAATTTTATTATTTATTCTTTCATTTTTCTTTATTTTCTTTTTGCTATATACCATTTATATCCCCAATTCAATTTAAGTCCTAAAATTTTCAAAAAATTAAGTTATCAGTTTTCATAGTAAACCCCATAGTTTTACTGCACCTTTAAAATTTGATAGGACATAAAATTTCAGGGATTTGATAAATCAAATATGTTAAGGTTTATTAATAATAATAACTGTTTTTCATTAAAATATAAGGATGACTCGAATATCAATATACTATAATGTAATTAGAAATAGGGATGGAAATTGATTTAAAACGTATCTAAAAGCCAATATGATTAGAAATATTAATCTATAATATGTTTAGCCAAATAGAAGATAGCACTCCTCTCTATAAGCAAATATACCAAAATACTCAAAAATAACAAACTTAAAAAGTCTATAAAATAGACATATTAAATACTTATTTCACAAAACTATTAGTAAGATTAAATGCAAGAGATATAGTAGAAAAGATGACTACAATAAAACTTAAACAAGATTAATAAAAGCTAGAGGTTGTAAAGTGTATTTTAACAAACCAAGAGCTGCTAAAAAAAAGAAAAATAATACTAAAAAATCTAGATATCTAGATATTACAACAAGCAAATACAATAGGTCTCAAAATAGAAAAAAATAATTTTACAAAAAGCTAGAATCTAAATTTAACAAAAATACCAGATAATTTCAAAATTGCAAAAGCTTTAAAAAGAGAGCAAATATACTATAAAATAACAGAAGCAAATAAATTAAGAATATAGATAATATTCTAAGTAATTCTAGAAGATAGCAAAATAATAAGTATATAAAAACAAGTTAAGCTAGTTTATAGAAAAGAAGTAAAAAAAAAATTCTAAATAGTTTAACAAACTAAAAAACTTAATAATTGCAAACTAGACAACAAGTAATATTAAGACAGAGTTTATATTACTATTAATAAATTTAATCAAATAAAACAAATTTATTATTTCTTTTGTAAATTAGAAAAATATGTTGTTGAATATAATTCTTACATATTTGTTATGTGAATAAAATAAAACAAATTTATTATTTCTTTTGTGGATTAGAAAAATAAGTTGTCAAATATAATTATTACATATTTGTTATATGAATAAAATAAAACAAAATTAATGAAATTCTAGACAAAAGCAAAAATTCAAAAAATACAATTCCAGCATTCTTTTTCGTTTCTCAGTTTCAAAATCATTTTCTGCATAAATAATATACGTGCAAAAAGGAGTGTTCAAATTCAAAAATGTTGATAAAATATAACATTCAAATACTGCTAATATTTCAAATTCTGCCCAAATTAGCCAAAATTTATACTTTAAATTTATATTGGAATTTTCTCAAATTAAACTCTAATATTTATATTTAATTAGCCAAATTTATATATTCTAATTCTGCTCAAATTTATATTCTAATTTTATCCAAATTTATACTCTAATTTTGCCAAATTTACATTCTAATTCTGCCCAAATTTATATTTGAATTTTGCCCAAATTAAACTATAATTTTTCATTCAAATTTTGCCTAAATTAAACCCCAATTCTACCTCTAATTTTACATTCGAATTCTGCCCAAATTAAACCCTAATTCCGCCCAAATTTATCTCTAATTCTGCCCAAATTTATATTAGAATTATAAATTTTGGCTGAATTAGAGCAGAATTCGAATATAAATTTGGGCAAAATTATAGTTTAATTTGGGTAGAATTCAAACATAAATTTGGGCAAAATTAGGGTTTAATTTGGGCAGAATTAGGATTTAATTTTGGCATAATTTGAATATAAATTTGGGCAAAATTAAAGTATAAATTTTGGTAGAATTAGTTTAATTTGGGCAGAATTTGAATATAAATTTGGGTAAAATTAGAGTATAAATTTTGGCAAAATTAGGATTTAATTTGGGCAGAATTCGAATATAAATTTGGGCAAAATTCGAATATAAATTTGGGCAAAACTAAAAGTATAAATTTTGGCAGAATTAGGGTTTAATCTGGGTAGAATTCAAATATAGATTCGGGCAAAATTAAAGTATAAAATTTGAGCAGAATTAGAATATAAATTGAGAATAGTTCAAATATAATTTTTTGGGGATCATAAAATTTTGGCAGAATTGGGACAGAATTCTAAGTTTGGGCAAAATTGGAGTATAAATTTTGGCAGAATTGGGGTTTAATTCGGGCAGAATTCGATTATAAATTTTTATAAATTTGGGCAAAAGTTAGAGATAAATTTTGGCCCATCTCATGTAACAAGATAGTAATACAACAATTTTAATTATATAATTGTACTGTACAATATAATTAACACTTAATACTGTAATAGCCATTTTTTCAATTTTTATTGAGACATATTAACGTTAATAAAACATTTAATAAATTTAATAAATAAATGATTTCTTATTGATCTAGCGCTAGAAAAAAAATGATACCTGAGAACAAGATAATAAATTTTAATATACTTTCTATTAGTTCTAATCTCATTTTAACAATATCTTTAATAATTACTCTTTTCTTTATATATCATTTCATAAAATACTATTAAACCTTTTCAAAATATTAATAAATAAGTTTTTAAAGAAAGAGATGTTTTACTTAACTACAAAATTTTGAAAATATCATAACATTGTGATAATATTTTCGTTATGCTCAAAAGCATGTAAGACACTACATTTTATTAGCTGGAGCTTAGGGAAAGCCTTTCAAGTCTTACTCTACTGAATTTTAGAAACGTCTGTCTTCCGCTTTAACTGATCGTTTAACAACTAGAATTGAATCTCAATGTCGTAGCAGACTTTTAATAGAATTTATTTAATGCTTCTGTATGATCACACAATCAACTAATTTTATTGTAGAATATTATTATTGCTATGAGAACAGTTGTAATTATAATGTTGGCCAATTTAGTCGGTTTTATGTTCTTTCAAGAAGATGGTTTTTGGGATTTTGTGGTAGAACCATGTAACACTTTGTAACTTGAAATATTTAGATATTAAAAAAAGTAAATTAGAGCTAAATTTATAATATTCAAAAACTCGTTCAACACGATTTTTTAATGCAGTAATATTAATTTCTGACATATCAATCTTGTTCTCTTCTTATCAAATTCATTGATTATTTTTTGCTCATATTTAGAAATTCAATTATTTTGACATGCCAATCCTTTCTAGTTTAAAATTTTAAAATTTGTATAATAAAAGACAAAGTTCAAATTAACTACTAAATTAGTCTTTCATATTTCACAATATAATTGTGAAACTAATGTATATTCTAAAAATGTCCGTTAAACAAATGTGCCTCATTAAAACTTTGACACCAACATGTCTACAAATTACATTCTTGAATATCTCAAACGAACATTAAATCCAATACAAACTGTGGCATACAATAATACTCAAGATCATATATCTTTTGCAGAAGCACTTGCGAAAAAAAGATTAAAATAAGTAAGTTTATTAAAAAAATATTATTACAGTATAATATGAATTTTAACCAATTCCTCAATAATTTATATAATAGAGATTTAGAATAAATGCTATCCTCACTATAGTCAGTATTCTTATCACAATTGCCATTGACGTTACTGTAAAGTTAATTAATGATGAATATATAGCGAAAGATTTTTTTATTTTATTACTTAATTGCATAATCTTCGGAGGCCTAGCATTAAATACATTAATTAAGGCCACATATGAAGTGCTATATAGTGATAGAATATTTACTTCATTTTCACTTTTATTTCCGTTACTTATAGGGACATTACTAGCTATATTTTTAGGCATTAATGTTCTTCCACCTCCTATGACTATTACTTGGATATTTGTTGGTTTAATGTTCTCAAATATTGCCATAACATATCGATATATATCTTTTGAACCATTTTATCGTACCAAAGTTAAATTTGCAGTCACAATATTATGTATGGCAGTTACTATCGGTCATAATATTGCTGCCAAACTATTAAAAATTGATATTTTAAATACATTAATTTTGTCCCTTAATTGTTCCATCTTTGGAATACAAACTCTATTTATAATATTAAACTCAATTACAATTACTAAAGTTTTAATATTAAATTTAAGTTCAATAATTTTATGTGTATTTCTAGCAATTATTTTGGGCACCTTTTTCATTCCACCTACTATATCAGTTTTTTGGGTATTAATTGGTATTATGTGTTCTAATCTTAGTCTTGATTATATTTACCTGTTAGAAGATAATTACTCAATTAATACACCTGGTTCAAATTTTCTTGAGCAACCATCATAATTCAATCAAATATTTGTTTTTATTTGATGATATTTTTTATTAATTTAGTTATTAAATATATAGATATCTTGTATATTTCTTTGAATAAATATGATTAATTTTTAAATAAAATAAGATTAATTTTTAAATAAAATAACAATAAGTTTAATAAGATATTCATTCTAAAAAATATTCAAAAGCTTGAAGAAAAAGATTAGAACCTAATACACCAACTACAATCCAGGAAATTGTGACAGTTGCAGAGAGAACATAAATGCCTAGAAATATTGCCAGCAATATTCCAATAATTGTCAGAATTAAAATCTATACTACTCGAGTCCAGGTTTTATCATCAAAAATACCTTCATTTACAGGTACACTGATTATAGTAAAAGCTTAAATTCCAAAGACAATACAGTTTAGAATCAGAACAAATTTATTTATATATTCATCATTATTAAAGATCTTAGCAACAGCATTAATAGCAATTGTCACAAGAATAGTGAGTACAGTAAAAGAAGCGTTTATAGCTAACTTCTATTTTACAAAAAAAGAAGGATATTATTATGATAATCTCAACAATTATCAAATACCTATTTACAAACATACACATTTTTTATGTTCTTCCCGAATTGCTTTTAAAAAATTAATTTGGTCAACAGAAGTATCATAAAATTTTTATTGATTTCTACTCAAACTATTTAAATATTTTTTTAATTCTAAAGGAATTTCAGAATTCTCATTTGGTGTATTATTAGACATATTTGTGATAATATTAAAAAAATGGTTAAATCCTAAAAAGAAAAAAACACAAAACGATACAATATAACATTATTAGTCAAAAGATATGTCACACAATCTGTAGTGTTATTACTATTTAAAATGTTTGTTACATTGCAATAATTAGTACCTTTTGTAAAACTGTAACCATTATTATAGTTACCAGAGCTACGAATTACTTCTACCAAAATTATGGTTTATCAGAGTTACGAATTAATTTCTAATTAATTCTATCAAGATAGCTTACCAGAGTTATATATTAATTCTACCAAAATTATGCTTACCAGAGCTATGAATTCCTTCTACCAAAATTATGGTTTACTAGTTACGAATTACTTCTACCAAAATTATGTTTACCAGAGTTACGAATTAATTCTACCAAAATTATATTTACCAGAGTTACTAATTAATTATCAAGATAATGCTTACCAAATTATGTTCAC